ACTTGGCTGTTAGGATGGAAGAGTTGGTGAAGATAGGACAGAGTTTGACGAGTGTCAGGGGTTGTAGTGGGGATGTGGGTTGCAGTGTAAGAATCTCCTGGGGAGGGTGAGATGAGTCTAGGCCCCTAAAAGCCACAGCTCTAGCTGCCTCATCAGCTCAGTTGTTTCCCTTGGAGACAATAGAGTCATCCGTCCAGTGGGATCTGCAGTGGACAATCCCAAAAGCTGTGGGGAGATAAGAAGCCTTTAACATGGCCATAATTTGCTTTGCATTAGCACTGATCCTCTTTTTGTGGTAAGTAACCCGTGCTCCTTCCAGATAGCAGGTGGGACAGGAGGATATGGAAAGCATATTTGGAATCTGTGTAGATGTTGAGGGATTGTCCTTGTGCCAGCTGGAAGGCACAGGTAAGAGCTATTAGTTCAGCCTGTTGATTAGTGGTGTGAGCAGGAAGGGCCTGTGCCTCCACCACCTTGGTGTCTGACACTATGGCATAGCTAGCTCTTCTGGCCCCTTCATGTAGGAAAGAGCTTCCATCTGTGTACCAGGTGTAGATGGCTTGAGGTAATCTGCCCTCCTGTATGTGTGAAAGAGGAGGTAGTAGTTCCTTTAAAGTTTCAGTGCAGGAGTGAGATAGGGAGTAATCAGTGTTAGGTTGAGGAAGAAGATTGGAAATATTAAGAGGCAGATATGATTGGAAGGTGAGGGTGAGGTCTCCTATTAGTGCTACCTGAAGAGAAAGAACCCTGGAGGGAGGGAGGTAGAGTCTGTAAGCCTTTGCAAGTTAGGAGCTGTGACAGGTAATGAGAAGAGAAGACAGTTATAGGCGACCCAAAAGTTAGGTTTTTTTTGTCTCTCAAATAAGGAGTTCAGCAGCTGCTAAGGTATAAATACAGGGTGCCCATCCCTGGATAGTTAGATCTAGCTTTAAGACAAGCATGCTATGCGTACAAAAGAAGGTCCCAGTTGGTGACCTAAGACTCCAAGGGCAAATCCCCCTTTTTCAGTTACGTAGAGGAAAAAAAGGACGAGTCAGGTCAGGAAGATATAAGCCTGGGGCCTTAAGAAGAGCCTGTTGGAGACTTTGAAAGGGCTTGGCAATAGGTTTGAGAAGAGGTTCATAGGCGGTGCCTAACGCTGTTTCATATAAGGGGCGAGACAGGAGGCAAAAGGAGGGAACCCAGGAATGTAAAAAACTAGCTATTCCTAGGAATGATAAAATCTCCTCCTTTGTAGAAGGAACAGTTAGAGACTGAATCAGATTCTTTCTATCTAAGGTAATAGCTTTGTGGGTTGGGGTAACTGTTATTCCTGAGGAGTGGGCAGTTGGACATTAGAAGGTAAGACCCTGTAGCCTTGACTGGAAAGGAAATTTAGAAGAACAGCTGTGTCAGCTTGGCTAATCTCTAGAGAAGGGCTACAGAGAAGGACATCATCTACATAAAGCACAATCTTAGATTTAGGGAGAGATAAAGAGAGCAAGTCAGAAGCCAGGGCCTGGCCAAGTAGTTGTGGGCTGTCCCGGAATCCCTGAGGAATACCTGAGGTCCAGGTAAGTTGGATAGAAAAGTGGGTGTCTGGATCTGTCCAGGTAAAGGCAAATATGTCCTGTGACCTGGCATCTAAAGGGATAGAGAAAAATGCATCACTGAGATCTAGGACTGAGAAATGAGAAGTCCCTGAGGGGATGGTAGAAAGAAGTGTATAAGGGTTAGCCACCATAGGATGGAAGGGGACCACTGCAGAATTAATGCATCTGAGGTCTTGAACCAGTCGATAGGTACCATTAGATTTCTTAACTGCTAGTATAGGGGTATTAAAGGGGGAAGAGGTGGGGCGAAGGAGTTTTTTCCTCAAGAGGTCAAAAATGATAGGCTTAATAAGTCCCCTGAGGCTCTGAAGAGAGAGAGGGTATTGAACTTGAGTGATATACCTGGTAGGGTCCAGTAATTGGATAAAAACAGGAGAATGGTGTTTAGCAACAGAGGGGTTCTGGACGTCCCAGACTTGGGGATCTACCTGAGAAGCTGGTAAAGGAAACAACATGTTACTGTTAGTAGGTTGACTGGCTAGAAGGAGGAACAGAGGAACTGCTGGCGAGCTTGGGCTTAGGCGAATGTGGGGAGCAAAGGAAATGGAAGCTCCCAACATAGCTAGAAGATCCCCTCCTAATAAGGGGACAGGACATGTAGGCACTACCAAAAAGGAATGGGTGAGAGGTACACCCCTAAAAATGCAACTAAGTGGGGAGTCTGGTGAGGAAGGTAAGGTTGTCCTCCTACCCCGATGAGAGGGGGAAGTGGGTCCCCAAAACTCCACCAGGACCGAGTAAGTGGCCCCAGTGTCCAAGAGGAAGGAGATGGGCAGCCCACATACCACAATGTCTACCTGGGGCTCCTTGCTAGTGATGGGCGTGGTTGGGTCAAAGGAGGTCAGGCCTCCTCAGTCAGCCTTAGCCAAGTCTAGGAGATCAGTTGGAGTGATGTTCCTCTGTTCTGTGCAAAATGAGGCCAGGAGGCAGGTTTTAAATCTATCTCTGGCTAAAATACCACCTGTAGAATTACAGTTCCATCAAGGGTCCTGGTCAGGCACTACCTCAGATCCGACTGGATATGTTCCATCTGTTTGATGAATTTCATTTGCATGTTCTTGCCTGCTCCCAGACTTGCCTGCGTTCCTCAGAGAACAAGTTATTAGTAAGAATCATATGTACATCATGGAAAGTCAAGCTATAAGATTAATGTATTGAAACTCTTTAATAAAGGCAGAGGAGTTAGAGGTATAGGAACCCAGTCTGTTTTCTAATTGAGAAAGTTCTCTCAGTGAGAAAGGAACATGTACTCTGACCAGACCATCATCCCCAGCCACTTCCCTTACAGGAAGGACAGATGCTGGTTTAGGCGTTCCTGGAGGAGAAGGAATTGGAGGTTTGGCTGTGGCCTTAGAGCTCGTGATAGGAGGGGCAAAGGTCGGTGCCAATGTAGGGCAATTGGAGCGACCTGCAGTTGCCACGAGGGGAGGGGAAGGAGTGGGGGAGGTCAAGCTAGTAGGCTCTGGGGTATCCCAGTGAGAAGGAGAAATTGAGGCAGCAGTTTGGTTTTTGGCGGCATGGAAACAGGTCTGCAGCAGAAGGGAGGCTGTTCGTTAGCTGGATCCAGGGTTGTATCATCATCTAGTGGCGGTTGTATGGGTTTCATGGCTAAGGAAGCTGGGTTGGGGAACAAGAGGAGCACGTAGAGGAGTTAGAGTGAAGGTAGACAAATGCTTGAATATATGGAACCTCTTTCCGTTTACCAGAGCGCTGGCAGTATGTATGAAGATCCCTTAAAATAATTGGATCTAGTGTGCCATTGTGTGGCCATTTGGAGCCATTATCTAATGGGTACTGAATCCAGACCTTATTGCAGAAGTGAACTGGCTTCGATGCCTTCAAGTCAGGCGTTAACTTCAGAGATTTGATATTTCCTAGGAGACATCCCAGTGGGGTGTCTGGAGATACGGTCAAAGACATTGAAGCACCCATTAGGGAGTTATTGGATTATTTGTACCGATGTCCCGAGAATAATTCAATAACCAAAAATTCCAGCCAGGCTAGAGGCCTAATTCGTCACGAAGGCCACCTAGTGGCTAAACAGTATGTCCTGGACTTACTAGAAAGCTTCTCTACCTAGGCCTAGGGATTTCTTAAAACAGCTGCAAGAGCCTGGAGGAGGGTGAGAGAGTCGCTTTTGAGGGAGGTGGTCACCCAAGGGTCGATGTCTTATCCTGTATGACAGCTGGGAGGCTAGTCATAAGGACCGTGGCTGTGAAATGCCAACCCCTTATCCCAAAAGAAAGGCTGGCCAGGCCGTGCGTGGGAAATTAGTGTCCTCCTGGCCGACTGACCGGATCTGTGTGAGGATTTTAGCGCTCTGGTAGCAGGAAAACGTAGAACTGAATGGCTAAGTAACCCACGTGGCAGAAGCTAGCCCCACAGGGTGGACTGGGGCAGCACAGCTCACGTGGTAGAAGTTTGTCCCACTCGAGCAGCAGCAGCTCACGTGGCGGACGACTGTGAATCCTGCAGCGGCCAGCAGGTGGCGGTGGTTCTGCAGCCGGCCACGGTAGGGCTGGGAGCTGGTCGGGCGGCGGCCTTGGTCAATCGAAGCGGGTCTGAGTGCCTCTTCCCGGCTCCCTCCTGCCGCTCCTGGCGAGCTATGGGCTAGGCAGTGCTTGTTCGGCTGAGGGGATGCTTCCAGCCGGGCCAGGCAGTTCCTCAGACAGGCCCCGGGCAGATGTTCCGCCGGGCTCTGGTTGCAGCTGTGGTGTGGGGGCGGGTCCAGCTGTGGTGTGGGGGCGGGCCCAGCTGTGGTGTGGGCGGGCCCAGCTGTGGTGTGGGCGGGCCCCGCAAGGGTCTTGGAGTTTCACCGCAGAGGCTGTAGCGGTGGGGAGCCCTTGCTCACCGGTCAGTTTGCTCACCAGTCAGTTGTAGTCCACGTGACCACCATCGGCCACAATCTCCCCTGAGTTCCCGGGTTTCGGCACCAATGGCAGCTCGTGTCCGGATAGATCACACCAGGCTAAAGCAGTTCCACATGGTAGAGGTTTTATTAGAAAGGGAGAGAGAGAAAAAACAAGAGGAAAAAGGGTCGAAGGTGGGGAAAGGTTCCTAGGTTTCATCTAGGCTGTGACACAGGCGGTTCCCAGGTAAGTGTGAGGAGTGGGCTCCAAGAAGGCATCCAGGATTGTCATGGCAACAGGTGTCACCTATGTGTGTCATTCCTGAGTTTGGAGCCGGTTTGCCAAGATCGCTCCGGATACCAACACTTGCCTACAACATTTTTATATTTTTCTAGTCAGTTTCTCCAGGCCTTTCCAAATTCCTCCATGAACCAATTTGAAAATCTGACCCACAAAGTCACTGACTAGTCACAACAACGACCCTACTTCTGGTACCAATTTTCTGTGTTAGTTTTCCTTGAGAAAAGTAGCTTAAAAGAGGAGACCTTTATCTTGGCCCCCAGTTTCATAGGCTTCAGCCCGTGATGGCTCAGTCTCGTGTTTGTTTGTGGCTGAGGTGAGGAAGAGCGGAAGAGGAGCTCATCTTTTGGCATCTAGGAGACAGAAAAACAGGGCATGGGACCAGAGACAAGGTATATCTTCCTTTCAAAGGCACAGCCAATGACATTCTTCCCCCCAAGTGGGCCACTGTAAGGAGCAGAATAAAAAATGGTATTATGGATAAAATGTAGCCATGGAAGCTAGGCCTGGGAACGAGTGTGACAGATAAAGCGGGGACAAGGTGAACGCCCAACGGAGCAGTATGCCCTCAATTGTAATTGGCTGAGAGGTAACCATGGTAACTGAGCCCAAGCTATGTGATAAAACTCCCGCCTCAATTCTGATTGGTTGAGATTAGCTTAAAAACTCCGGTCTAGCATACAAGCAAAATTGCTTGTTCCCCGGAGCCCCACAGAGATGTCGTTGCTGAGCCGCTGCCCAGGCTGCCTGTCACCGAACGAGAAAGCCCGCATGAATTCCTGTAGGTCTGCAAGGCTGTCCAGCGGAAGTTCCCACTGGTCTTCAAGGCACTCGCGGGCCTAGTTCCGCTGGAACCAAGGCCTCATCTTAGATCGATTTCCAGCTGAGTCAAAAAAAACAGGGGTGAACCTTTACCTGCAGCACCGAACACAGGGTCAGACCGGAGATTAGTATAGAGTGTGTGTGCACGAACGAATGCGATCCCATTTCGCTATCTGTTTGTCTTTTGTCATTTATAAATAAATGAGCTAATGTAACCTTTCCTCCGAGTTTGAGATTCTTTCCCCGCCTCTGTCCGAGGTCGCAATTCGTGACAGTTTACCGTGTTTCGCGACAGCCACAAATTCTAATGAACTCATCAGCTCATTGATCTGAATCCTACCCACAGTACTAGGGACCATCTGAGAACAATGCCTTCAACACAAAAGCCTTTGAGGGACAGATGCTTCATATTCAAACTACAATAACACTTAAGTAGTCTTTTTCTACAAATGAGGGATTGATTGGCCAGACACTGTTACTAACCTGGGACCACCATTACCATGACGAACAGAAACAGGAATCAGCTGCATAAAGAGAAATAAATCTGTTACAAAAGTCCAATTTATCACAGAGGATCTGCTACAAGAGACCAGTGTAACCTGTAACCACGGACGACTTGAAGCGCTGTACTTAATCCCTTTCCCATCTTAGTAAGCACTTCTCACACATTAGAACCCTGGTTTTGTTGTTGAGGTAACTTCGCAAAACTAGAATACATTTCTTTTAACCTCTTGACAGTTTCAGGAATAGAAGCAGCTGGCTTTTCTTTGGAATATCTAAACTCCCAGCACCATTACTCATGAAAATTAGGGCCATTAGAAAACAAACTTAGGGCTACTTGAGCACAGGTTCTGATGATCTGATGAACAGAATAGCTAAGTCACTGATGGATGGGTAGTATGCACTGCATAGAAACACTGCACAAAATGATTCACACCCGCAAGGCAGGAGGTAGGGAGGGTACAACTGTGCAGAGTTACTTCAAGTTAGTTGGAATGGATCTGATTAAAAACTTATGGGTTTTTATTTTTGGAATTTTCCATGTAGTATTTTCAAACTGTGGTTGACATCAGGTAATTGAAAGTACAGGAAGGAAGTAACAGGGGCTGTTAAAGTAGTAGTATATTTTAATAAGAAAGTGTCATCCATCCTCCTTAATCTATTAGGAGCTTTTTGAAACACAAAGATAATCGGTTACTTTAGTCTCAAATAAATCCATGTTCTCTTGTTGGAAAACAAAATTTCTAGCTTAGAGAGGAACAGAAGTAAATCCTCCAAGCTGAGAAAATCACAAGTCTGGCCACTGTGGGGCCATTTTCAGTCCTCCAGCTGTGTATCACCTTCATCCATCAGACACACTCTCCAGCTGTTGCTTGGAAACTGCCTTCAGCTTCCATCCTCACATGATATAATCACCCGCCTAAGTGAAGAGTACCTTCTGGAAGCAGGAGTGATGGAGTTGAGCCTGAGTCATGGAGCATCACTGAATATCATTTATCCAACAGTTTGGTCAGAAAGACAGATTCAGTAACATGAGATGGTGAAGTAAGCTAGTAAGTTATGTATTTGGTGAGGTGGGGAGGTGCACACACCACGGTGCCTCTGTGGAGGTCAGACGACTTCTAAGAGTCAGTACCAGGGACTGAACCCTGGTTGTGAGGTACAACAGCAGTCACCCTTAACCATGGCAGTCACCCTTACCTGCAGAGATACCTAGCTACTTCCAAGACTTTGGTTTTAAGCATACTGGGATTCTTCATGCTTCTGTCTGATGTTAGAAGACAACCAAATAAAGGGGCCCTGGAGAGAGGGAGCAAAAGACTTAGGCCCGGGGCACTGATGAGTGGTTCCGTACCCATCTGTACACATGTGGAAATGGCTCGGTCCAGCAATAATACTCAACACTTCTAGAGATGAAAAGCAGCAGCTCTTTGAGGGGTGAATAAAAGAAAGAAGAGTGACAAAGTTAGTGCAGCATGTCATGGAGGCCGGCAGGAACTGGATGCTTAATCGTGTCTATGGCACTTTAACAGTAGATGTTTTCAAACAACAGATTCTTATAAATCTCCAAAAGTCTGGATGTGAAACGCTTTAAAGCTCATAATAGTCTTTCCTGCTAGAATTCTAACAACTGATTTATTTTCAGCTCTGATACCACTGTGCTGACCCAAATGACAGTGTGAATACAAGTCATATCCTCTGAATCTGAAATGTAGTAACATGTAGACAGATTGGAAAAGTCAAGTAGTAAATGGTAAGAAGAAAGGGGCAATAATTGTATTAAAGGACTTAATCCCAAGAGAAAATGTAAGAGTGGCTTCTATGAAGCCAGGGCAAGAAAGAGACAGAGTAAGTCAACCAGATGCAGTCTGTCACAGTCCAGGCCAAGCAAGTGCAGGTGACAGCACTCGAAACTGATCGCATTTTCTGCTACGTAAATAAAATCTATATACAGTAAAAATAATGAAGCCAAGGAGGAAAGAGAGACCTGGGAGAAGAGAGAGGAAATGGGAGAGGAGGAAAGAGAGACCTGGGAGAAGAGAGAGGGAATGGGAAAGGAGGAAAGAGAGACCTGGGAGAAGAGAGAGG